TGCCTGCTTGTCTGTTAGGAAGAGCCACATTCATGACTCAAAGCCAAGCTGCAAAAGGGAACGTTACAGTTACTAACTATAAAAGAATGAATGTGATCAGGAGTAATGCCTTTAAGTTAAAAGCAAGTGTTGATGTATTGAATGTTGTTCCTGTGAATAAAAAGCAAACCTGTCCAGCTGGTGAAAGTATGCAGCTGTTGTTTCCTGATGTGTTCTCATGCGTAGGAGGACTCCTGACCTTGGGTCCTGGTTCTGCAAGCGTGTATACTGATCATTCATCTCAGCTTATAGAACTAGTTGCCCTAGGACAATGTGCTATTTGACTTTTTGCAAAGCAGAAAAGATCCCATCTTCCACATAAATTCTACCAAAAAACATGTAGCTTGTGTTCAACCTACCTTTGCAATTCTGAACTAGTAATGGGAAGCTAGATAATACAAGTCAATGAAAGCTGAGTCACAGAACGCTGCAGTAGTTTGAATATGGAATATAGACCTCTGCATGGATTTTTAGTCTATATTTCTAGAATGTTTGTATCATGAAGTTACCAAAGAGAATTAAATTATGAGTTCTTCAGTAGCATATAAATACATAACAAATTTGACAGAGATTTTTTTAAAGAAGCTGTTGTTTCTTGAGGTTTGCTTGAAGCTGAATGGAACACTCTACACTTGAGATTTCTAGACAGCAAGGCAGTATGAATCATCAGCATATTAAATATATCAGTGTAGCAGCAGTTGCTGTTTCTTCATGCAGACAGAATAATGGAGGTTGTCTGGTTCTTCAGAGCTGTTGCTTTCTTTAGCCATATACTGAGTATCCTGTACTCCAGCTGATAATCAGAAGGAAATGAATGTCTTCACACTTTTGCAGGTTCAGATTTAGTACAGCACAACATTTAATAATGAGTCTCCAGTGCTGGAAGCCCCCCAAATTATGTTTCAATGGAATGTGGGCCATTTGATTAGGGGTCGATTTCACCTAGATTAATAAAACTTTCTTTAAACTAGAGGGCAGAATAGAAAGGCACAGGTAAGACCAAAAAACTTAGGTAGTCGGTATATGAAGTTAAAATGGGTCTTGGTGAGAGATTCTGGAGTAGGAGCAAAGCATAGTTTACTTGAGCAGAGTGCAGGCTGTTCAACTGGTGTTCTGTACACAATTCAGGAAAACTCGGAACTTTCCCAAAAGGTTGTCTGCTCGATCACTATGCATTTTTCAGACGGGGTCTTGTTACTTCTGGCTTAACCAATATTCAGAACAGGCATAAGAATTATTTTATCATTTTATGGTATTTGCAAGTTATCAGCAACTGAGCTGGTGCAGAAGAAACAGGTGACATCTGTGCTATTCCCCACAATGGTTGAATAATTCATAATTCCATATGGCATGCATTTGGTCAGACATCAAGTGCATCTTACAGGGTAGTTTCCAGTACAAACAAGAAATTGTTACATCTAGAGTAACAGAAATCACTATTGTTTTCTGTTGCCACAGTAAGAATAAGCTGTGATCTTTCTGCTTTCATATGAGTTTATATGCATTTGTCATGCTTGAAACGTGGTCATAATTCTTTCAAAAAACAGTGGGATGTATAGACACTTGGAAACAAAATACTTGAAGTAATTTGTCCCCCTTTAAGTACAGTAACCTAAAAGTACGGGGCAAAGGATGCTAGTGTGAAAAGAAACTTTCTAGCCAAGACAAATGTGTTCAACTGAACCGAGTCACAGGAAGTACATTAAGGTGTATACGAATTGTATTTCAAGGATGGGATCTCATGTGCTCATCAGTGAGAGACTGCAGACTTGCTTTCTTGAAAGAGAACTGATTTAATATACCAGAAATGTGAGAACTGATTGGGTGAACTGCATGACTGTTACATGAGTAATTCTGTAGAATGCAGTGAGTCATAGGTAAAAAATCTACTGACGCTAAAGTTAAAGATGCCTTTAAAAAATAAGTTAAACTGAGGTCCCAATGCTTCAGTAAAGGTAGTGAAAACTTTGCAGCTTAGTTCAAGCCCACTTTTGGGCCTTGGATTTTGTACTTTTACATACCCAATACCAACTTAGAAATAATAAAGAACTGACTTAAGAAGTACACTAGGCTTAAGCTAGTTACAGATTTTTATATAGTGCATATGTGACTTTACAGTGGTATCATTAATCTTTCCCTTACTTTAGTTTTGTGCAACTTTTGAGCGTAACCAGAAATAAACCAAACGAGATTTATGCTGAAGGTGATGTGTGTTATTCCATGGTAGTGTACTACTGTGGACAAATTCTGGGATGCATATGCTCTGGCTTATGAAGTTTTACTGCCTGGGATTAATACTTAAATCCAAACACATGGCAGATTCCTGAATGTTAGTTGCATCCTTGTGTTGGTGCATACACACTCTATATTCACTCCGCATACCCAGATTGTGTTTTATCAGAGCAGACTCTTAAAACAAGGTATACAAGTAAAGGTACATTTCAGTTTCATTATAAATTGCCTACCTGTGGATGCTGCTTGTAACGGGAATAACTTATTCAAGGGGAAGGTCATCCCTGTGGGAACATTTTAGTTTAGAATCTTCCTTTGGTAAGGAAAAGAATGACTCTTCCAGGTAAAGTATTACTAGGAGTGTAAGCTCAGCAATTTGGAGACAACTGTATTTACTTTTGGTGAGCTACAAACCAAACCCTTGTATTCAAATATGCCTTAATTCTGAGATTGACAAAAAAAGTCTAAATTCAGACTTTAGAAAACTAATTTCTTTTTATAGATGGGATGAAAAAAAGCACTCATATCTGTAACTCACAGCCTTTGGATCTAGTTTGCAGTTCTCAGCATAGACCAGCCTCAAAGTAAAGGCTACTACTCATCCGTCATCAGAGCGACCTGTTACATGAGCTTAAGAACTGCACTAAAAAGACTTGTATGTTATTTTCTCATGCTTAGTTTTGTTTATAGTTTCATTTATCAGTGTCAAATGTGTTGGTTGTAGACACTGCACTGACAAGACATGTAGCAAAATAATTTAGGAAAATTGAAGGAAGCTTAAAATGTTTTATGATTTTTTTAAAGAAAATAAAGAACAATTATTGTAAAATAAGACAATTTACAATTTTTATTTCCAAAGCTCAGATAGGTATGATAGTTTATGGCACATCAAAGAAACAGAAAGGCAAATCCAGATAAGTTGATGTGTTTAACAATTATTGACTAAATGGATTATCATGATTTTTACACCAGACATGATGTATTGCAGCCACTTGATATATGAAGCCTTTGCTCTGAACTCTGTGCGTTCAGGTACTGCTCTATTAAATATGCCATAGAAAAGCTGCAGAGTCCAAAGGTGCATTATATCTCATTGACATGTTCTGATCTAGAATGCAGATAGCACATGCTATCAAACAAGCCAACTATACAGTTAGAAAATGAGACGGTTATAAAGAAAAAACTTGTATACACTAATTCAAAAGCTTCTACATGTCAGCTCTAAAGTGTGCTGAGTAACTGGTTTAAGTGACCCATGAAAATTGGGTATTTTCCAAGCACCCTATAATTCAGGATGTGTATATCAATCCCTGCATGTCTCTGCAACAAGAGAAGACAGGAAATTCCTGGTGCAGCAGTCAGATGAGAAAGCTTTCTGTTGGTAGGTCAGTTCCAGCTGGGCCTACCATATTTTGCCACATAGTAAGTATCAAGAGCAGAAAATCTGTATCAATAGTGGAAGGATTTTAGCTTCCAATGTCTAGTATTTTCTAAGTTGGTAAATAATTGGTTTTCTTGGAAGGTAATTCTTCCTTTTGGTACACCATTTGGTAGATAAACATGCCACAAGCACTTAACCAGCCAAAAACACTTCAAAGATTCTGGATATGTTTGTTCTAAACAAATGCATAAAATGTAATGTGAAATAAGCTTCGCTGGCAGGGTTTAAAAAATCAAGCTAGCATATATTACCTGCAAATCACATTTCAGATGTAAATCTCATTGCTGCTGGGTTTTTTCTTATGCATAATCTTTTTCTTTCCTCTAGTAAACTCTTGGTTAGTAAAAATCCTATGAAATATTCCATACTCTGTAGTCTGGGGCGGGGGGTGGGAGAAGTCCTTAGAGTTGTGTGGGATCCCCATAGATCTGGAATTCTTTGACCATATTTTCCATGGATCATCTTCTCACACCAATATAGGAAAAGTCTTTATTTCTTATAAAATAAGAAGCACTTCTACTTTCTGGTGTAGAATGGCATGGTTGCTTGTTTCAACTATTTTCAGGGCCTGTAAAACAAAAGAACACAGACATTATTATTCATAGTTACCCAAATGTGTTAGTTATGTGACCTTTCTTCTTCCCTCTCCTTGTCTTTCCTGTCACCACTTTATTTCTCTTCCCAATTTTGCTTTCTCCTATCCCTGTTACTAGAAGTACAACTTGTTTGCTGCAGCCTCTGATTTCCATTAGCTTCTGAAGTCAATGAGACCTGGTAATTGCTGGCTTGCACAGAAGGAAGAGATCACTACTGACTGATGCTGGGTGAATAGCATTTGTTAAATATTGTGTTGTTTTCTTACCACTTTGGAGTTTGTAAAGCACTTGATTTGCATGGCACCAGTGAGTCTTGTTGGTACTAAAACAGCTTCCACAAATGTCCGGAGCAGTAAGACAAAGATCACTTGCCAGTGTTCATGTGTTATCCAGCACATCCAGAAACTGATGCTGTAATACCTCCTAGTGAATTTTACCTCTGTGCAGTAATCCAAAACCTATGCACCTGATGAAAATTATGGCAGCATGCATGCAGTGTCTGATGAACTGAAGCGTGTGAGGGAGTGTAGATCACCCACATCACATTAGCAGCTTTTGCTGAATCAGTAGGTACTGTGTAGTGTGAAAATAGGTTATTTTGTCAAAATAGAAGCATTAGAAATTTCCAAAGTGATTCCTGTGGCCTTGCTCATAGGATGATGCTTGTTTGAAAAGCCTGATTAGCAATTTACTTACGAGTACCTGCCTGACATCTTCCTTACAACTGCAATTATTATTCCTGCAAGGATTCCAACTGCAACTATGATTCCAATAATTATCCCAGCCAGTGCAATTGTTTCCAGACCACCTGAAAGAAGAAATAGGGAATGTTAGCGTGTTTCTCATGGAGACTATTGGTAAGAGGCTACTGATAGAACTGACGCTGTTCTGCATCCCACTCCTTGGGGAAAATTTCTTTCTATCTTGCAAAGA